AAGCGTATTTAACCTTTCCCGAGTTCTGTTCTCTGTCTACTGAACGAAAGCGATTATTCGCTTACGAGTTCTCAAGGTTCTACACATTTAGCTGTAAATTAGAGGTTGGAACATTATAAGTTATTGTATTGTATTGTATTTTCGTTTAATATATTGTACAACAATTTATATGTTAAGTTTTATGTATTGCTCATTTAATTGCAATTGTCAAGTTGTAGAATTTATTAAACATATTTGCTGGCGGCCCCAGGATGTCTACCAGTCTGTTATGGTTGAGTACAGTATAGTGGAAACAGACTTAAAAGAATAAGTGGTTTCATCTGCATTCACCAAATATGGTTAGGCAGGAGTATTTATCAGTCTTAAAGACGCTGCAACCATGGATGTAACAGCTGTAGAGGTACTTTGTCGATTCCTCTTGCCTACTATGGCAATATGCATATCTTCAGAAGAGATGGAAACCCTTGGACAACTGGGACAAATATTTGACTTGCTTGGAATCGTTTCTACATTCCAGAAATTATCGAATGAACACCACAAAAGAAATAAGCGAGATCTTTAATTAACTGTCCTACTTAAACATTTGTTTCTGACATTTGTTTCCTTTTAACAAAAGAAATATAAAAGATCACCGTTATAAACACTTCGTATTAGCATGTAAACCACACTTCTCAAAACTTTAGCATTTTCAATAACTGCCCAATTATCGTGTGATTGGCTGTAACACGTGATATCTGCATACTGCCGTTTGCGATTTTCAGCCACTCAAAACTCAACTATGCTTCCGAAAATTGCTAATTTGCATCGCGAACTGAATTTTGAAAGCCATTGTAGTTTTTAACACTGTCAGTTACTTTTGCTTGTAGAGATAGAAGCTTCAGCAAACTTGAAATAATCAGAAAAAACATGTAAGATCTTCGCTCATGAACTAAATAATGAAAATGATTATGAAAAATTATTGATTATTTGCTAACTAAATTATAAAAAGAGCTTGAAAATAAATGGAATACTTTTATATTAATTTTATTACTATTTGTAATGTTTCAATGTTATTTGCTATTTATTAAAAAGGCATTTCTTAACCTTTGCTTTTCGAAACTGTAAATCATTATACTGAGTTATTTTTCTAAATATATAAAGCTATGATTATATATCATTATCATTTGGAATAGTTACTTTTATGCAGTGTTTCTTAACCTTTCTAGCGACGCGTACCCCATTGCATCTGAAAATATATCTTCGCCCCCCATTGAAAAATGTGCTTTAATTTTTTTAGTCCAGAAAAGTACATTTTTTGCGAAATTTATTGTTTATTGAAAAACATAGTACATTTCATATAAATACAAAACAATATTATTTTTATTAATGACTAGTCTGTTGTTGTTTGTTCATTATTATACTGGCGAAGCGAGGTTCCTTTTTTGAAAGACATACCCGTAAGTCATCACTTGCATTTAAGCGATTTCTCGCTTTAGTTTTTATATGCAAAAGCGATGAAAATCCCGGGGCCCACCAGCGGCCGAGCGGTAAAGTCGCTGAACACTGGTAGTTCGGTCCGAGGTTCGAATCCCGCGAACGGGCTGGCTGCATGGGTGTTTTCGTGGTTTTCCCCATGTGTAACGTGTATACGATTCCCCTAGAAAGTCCTCCACGAAGGCATCCCTCCCCTTAGGTAGATAGCCCTAGTGTGACCCTTTGCCGTAATTAAATACACCACACCACCGATGAAAATTCCATTTCGCACAAGTAGGTGGTAGCAAAGGGTAAGAGTAACTGCACTGCTCCGTTCACCAACTCTGGATAACGTTGTAACTGTGAGCACTAGAATTGCTGCAATTCTAATTGTTCGAATTCCATCGAACATGTCCACTTGCTCGCATTTCAATAAGTTGATCTTTTTTCAGATCACTATCATCCATCAAATTTAAGTCAAATAGAAATGCATCCAGTATCCATCTCTGAGTTTTGGTAATATTTCCGGTAGAAAAATATCCATTGAATGATTCACTCAATCGTCTCAAATGTATTACAATGTCGGGTATAATCGTATAATTTTAATTTTTCGCAATAACAGAATCAAGCAAGGGAACGTTTGCAAAATTCCCCTTTTCTACTCGACGTATCCAAATTTCTAATTTTGAGATAAATGAAGATAATTTTTCACTAGATATTATTATATTTATACCAAATCCTTGCATCGATAGATTCAATTCATTAAATGGCTAAATATGTCTGCTAAGTAGGCCAGCCTCAGCATTGCATCATTACCCTGAAAAGCTTTTATTAAATAACAGTTTTGACTAGTCAGTAATTGAATAATTTCCTCACGCAATTCAAAAACTCTGTTAAGCATGCGACCCATAGATAACCATCGTATTTCGGTGTGATATAGGAACACGGTATGATCAGCACCGATTTCTTCGCAAAATGCACGAAAAATGCGATGATTAAGAGCTCGCCCTCGGATGTACTTTACTACATTTACTGCTGTAGTTAGATGTTGTTTTAAACTTTCTGGTAATGCTTTCGACGCAAGTGCATGACGATGCAACATTCAATGCGTTATTATAGCTTCCGCTAATTCTCTTTTCATGTGTGGAAAAAATCCTGAATTTTTGCCTAACATTGCTGGGCTTCATCAATGCATATAGAGCCAATCACATTCTTTGGTAATTGATATTTAGTAAAAAAATCTTTGATGCGATTGAAAACATCAATTCCTCTCGTATTCACCTCCAGTGGCTCACAAAATAGAAATTCTTCTATCACCATTTTTTCCTTCACATACCTGACAAATACCAAAAGTTGGCTACAATTATCAACATCAGTTGACTCATGCAGTTGCATGCTTATTTTTAGTGGACTGATTTTTACGTCTTCAATGACTTGCATTAAAATATCTTCACTGAAATCTTGTATTCGCGATCGTATAATATCATTCGATAATGGAATCTGTTGGATTTTTCTATGTGATCCGAATGTAAAACTGTTTTAGGAATAATTAAAGCAGAAGGTTTAATCAACTCTTCAGCGATCGCGTGAGGTTTCTTTTTTTTCGCACATAAATATGCCACTTGATATGACGCTTCTAATAAAGGTTTTTGAATTGCTGGTCCGCACAATTTCAGGATAGTTCCACTGGTATCAAACCGAGCCTTCTTTAACTTCAAGCTGTTCATGCTATGCGCTTTCTCGCCAAATGCAGATTATTGAAATGCACTAATAACTTTGATGGTCTGCTGTTTGAAAATATCTTGTAACACAAGATGTATTGCCATCTTTTTCGGTTGTGCAGGTAAATCCATAACCGGCATACTTATCGTTCCATTGTCGTTTTTTTGACATAGTGGGGTTCACTATAATCGATTTAATTATTTAGAAATAATGTCCTATAATATATATAATGTTCTTACGTTTGTAATATCACTGAATCCTATTCGGCTTGAACGGGCAATTAAGAACGTATTAGTCTGAAGAGGTTTCTGGACAAGTCAGAATACACAATACACATGTCGCAGACACAATAGTTGACTCAACCTAACACAGGCGCATTAGATGCAGATACAAATCTGTGAATCCGTAGATTCCATTGGAGTAGCACATATTGAACTCAGCGCATGCGCAAGCTGGGATAACGTTCTCCGCTTGTATTCCCACAAAGTTTTTTCTTTCCTTCGTCACCTAGCTGCCTGTTCGCGTTCGTTTGTAGCGTTTCATGCCTTTTCGTAGCGTAGTGTATACGCCCATCGGCACCGGCTCTTTCCTGTGTTTTTTGCCGATAAGTGAGCTAACGGCTACCAATTTTTATGAGCTTCAGTATTGGGGACACTATTGCAGATTTCAAATATTTTATTATAAGAAATTTAATAAATGATATTTAATAATTTTTATGGTTAGGTAGGGGCTTCTCCTGCAACCCCAAAAATACATTCCCGCACCCCCGATTAAGAACCACTGCTTTTATGAATATAAACGTGTAAAGATATAGTTGATTGGGATTTTGTGTTTGTATGTGCTATATATATATATATATTTTTCTTCTTTTTTCCCAAATAGCCGGATAATTTGCTTTGCACGATTTCCCCTTGATAAGTCTGTCTCCTTCCTGCTCAACAATTATTCACTCATGCATTTTTATAATTTTTTTAGAATAAAAAATCTTTTTTGAAATTATATATTTGTTCATGGGTTTTGATATTTGCACTTGATTTAAATATGCTCTCAGAATATAAATGATATTGTAGATTAGTTCGCAGCAATAATTAATCATTAAATTTCATTAACTTTTAATTAGCTTTTTACGAATAGAGAATGTTTGTTAAATTCAAATTTCATTCCTTGCAGCAATGGCGCAAGAGAATTATTTAAATTTAATTTAACTTTATTATTTCTTCTTTTGAAATAATTTTGTATATATATATCGTACAAAGCAAATTATCCAGCTATTTGGGAAAAAAAGAAGAAATATATATATATCACATACAAATACACAATATATGTATATATATATAGAGAGAGAGAGAGGGTCTCGAAAATTTACCTCTTTGCTTCGGACTAAAAAAGCGTGCAAGCACAGTTCTGATGACTTCACACGCTGAAAGATTTTTGATCGGGATGAACAAACTTTATTATATAGTAATGTTGAAAAACATGAGGCTTGTTATAGTAGAGGTCATTAAGATTACAGGTATAAATGATTTCTAGTTGTTGCTCCTAAGATCCAAAATTCATACAAGAATATCCAAATAATTTTCGTAATTCATAAAACCATTCCTAAGATATGGAAATTTAAAAAAATCTTCTTGCGAAATTTAAAAGAAATCCTGGGAAAGAAAGAGCTGTATACGTCAGAAGATTCCAGTGAAGAAGAAAAAAAAAAACTCTAAATCAAGTAAATACCGTGGAATTGTTTTTAAAAGGCTTCAGTTTTTCATAAATTTTAACAAAAATAAACACTAAGAAAACTGAATCAGTAACTGAATATATGATTTAAACTGCACCTGGCAAATATATTTTCTCTGGCTCTGCTGTTGTGTACCAGTCTTGCCACATTCTAGATATTTCGTCAAATGATACAGTTATTCCGAGAAATTTTGGTAACCGCTCCAGTTGAGTGATATGATCCCAGCAATGTTGAGGCAGCCAAAGTGAACATGGATTAGGTGGTTCTTCAGAGCGATCAATTACCTAAAATAAAATAGCACTCTTTTTACTCATATTATGCAATAGAATTTTACTATGAAAGAATTCAATGTAAAAGAACCTGCTAATTTGATATACACTGCTGACCATGACGAAAATCATTTAGCGAAATCACATGTATTTTAGAGCTACATTATACCAGAAATATAAAATATTAAAATCCCAGTTAACTTTGAGGTAAAAAGAGGCAGAAATCAGAAACCCGAATATCCATTTCTAGTAACAACAGCGGCTGTTATACGGCTGGACGAGTAAAACAGTCTGGCTGGCAGTTCTGCCACCTTGAAGGGTAGCATCGGTTCTGAGCAGTATCATCGGCGCTGGATATATATGTCTAGAAGCGCCGCAAGTAGATTTCGAAGATATATGTCTAGAAGCGCCGTAAGTAGATTCCAATTTGACGTTTCACCAATCGGCATTTTATGCCATTGGAGAAACGTCAAATTGAGACTGAGCAGGCAAAACTGGGGTTATTTTCTCAAGTATAATAAATTAAATTCAGCAACATCCAAGAAAAAGCCATCATGTAAAGTTGGTATAAATCATAGTGAAACAATATGGGAATTCGAAAATGTGGTATATTTTCCACAGTTCATCGAAGATACAATATGATTGAAGATTGTTAATTTTTTCTAAGCTTTTCCAAAATATTAATACTCGTAATTTAAAATAGGTGCTCAGAATTAACGTTATTCCGAAATTTAAAAAAAATTTAATTGATTAATTATTCCCTTTCAGATAATAAATAATTTTATTCGCTAATGAATCGTTCATAGTTCTTTTTCAAAAAATTTATAAAATTAATTCAATTGTACTTTATACATTATTATAAGATCTGACTTTCCTAGCTATCATGCAATGTACCTAGATCTCAAAGTTCAACTTGGCGAATTCTCGCTTAGGCGTGAAGATGAATACAACAGGGAAAAGGTGTAAAAAGCCCTTTTTATTTATCACAACTCTTTAATAGAAAGGCACGGACTTCGTGTTTACAAAAGAACCCACTACTTGCGGTAAGAACTTAAAAATAATCTAATAATAAATTCAAAAGTAAAAAGTAGTGCCAGACAACACAACTTAATTTAATTTAAAAGACTGATTCAGCAACCAAGACCGGCGATAGCACTAACTAAAAGGCCAGAATATGTAGCCGCTACTAAGATTATAGATGGAGGACAAAAAGCAGATGTGCGCCACACTAGCGAAATCACGTTCTGTTTAACCTCGTTTCATCTGTTTAAATACTGTCGTTCACCTACTTATTTTGCATTCTGGCGAGGAAATGCGAGGGAAAATAAGAGAATTCAGAAAAGGTATCAAAATTAAAATAACTGGCTAGTGAACTTATCGGGACTTGTATTCCTCTTGACTTGCTTTGGAAACATGAACTGTCCTGACTCGGAACAGGGAGCTTACTCAAGCTATGTTCAAAAAATTGTGAAGTAGACAATACACACAGGAAGGGTATACGAAACCCTTTATTTTTCTATCTTTACAGAGATTTCCGGAACTTCGGAATACAGAGACCAACCACTTGTGGTCTGAACGTAAGAATATAAAACTACTAACTAAAACTCTAACTAAAACTAACTTTGGATTAATATACAAGTGCCTAGCTTTATATACAAGTGCCTAGTGATTGGCCGTTATTTAACAAAATCCGTATGTAGTACAGAGAGCTGCTAAAACTACGATACGTTTAAAATTATCAAGAGGACTAAACCTCTGGCCTTGAAGGTAACCAGCACCGAGTAAAACTACTATGGCAAGCGGCTTGCAATAACTCTTTCCTCTCTCTTGCTTGGCAAAAAGCCACAACTTAAGTACTTGGCGTTAGAAAGACAAATTTACATAAATAAGCTTTTAATTCTGGCCGGAAGTAGAAAATAAGAAGTGATAGTAAAGATTTAAAACAAAATAAACGTTAGTAAAACTTAGGATCCTTACAAACTAATGGGAACCCTATAACACATGTGTGATTGACACAACTTCGATAGTTCGGCTAAACCATCAAATATCTCGATGCGTGATCGGTTTGCAGTTGTTGTACTACACGTCGTCGGAGCTTAATTCATTGAGCAAGAAGTTAAAATTTAGCAAGAGTGACTGGTTAAAGAACGCGGACAAGATGTGTACCCAACCGCATGCCATACCACTAATCCAGTTGCTGATCCCATATGACAATGAAGAAGATAAGTATCCAATATTTTTTACCTAAATACTTCGATTCACGAATAAGACCAGAAGCAAGCAAAGGCAGGATTCATCAGAAAAGACGATGTCATGCAACATATGTGTAACGTGCATCAAGGAACGCTGCATTGTATGCACTGATTCCGTTACTCTAGCTTCAAGGGAAGCCAGACAGTGGGTATCCGGCCGATAATCCGTGACTCTGCAGCCTTTGTCACATATTTTGCAGATACTTGGCGCATATCCAATTTTTCTGACCCAGGTACGTGATGTGGTTATATGATCTCTAACAGCAATGTCGACAATATGTCTGTCATCCCGAAGTACTGGTGAGTGAGGACTTCTAAGTTCCCATACATTGCTCTGTGTAGCCTCCTAATCCATCGACTGCTAATTCTTCTCCAACACTCATAGAATCTTAACTAGCGCGATAATAATCGAGCAGTAGGGTAATCCGCTATAGGCTACAATTCTTCGTCGATAGAATCCTAAGACGTGAAGGTATAGCACAACTTCATACAGAAGCACATATGCATCAGTATTTCAGTAAGCCTTTTTTATACTGGTTCGAGGTGTTATTACTTTTGCCTGCAATGTGTGCATGCCGTAAAATTCTAATTATTATGTCCTCCCATAAGTAATGATGTTTCTGGAAGTAGCTTTCGAAGAAATAAATAAGTAAAAAAGTAATTTCATCAACTATATATTCCTTATCCATAATCATGCATTTAATCCTGCAATGGTCATTTCATGCCATTGGAGAAAAGTTCATCTCAAATCCGTAAGAAATCCATTGAGAAATGTGTTCTTTTTCCCAATGAAATTTTTTTTAAGTTTGATCCACCAGTTATATTTCATTTTTACTCATTAGATTTTTTAAATAATTTTTAAAAGGATAATGAACAGCAGTGTTTATGTTCCCGTGTTCTTTTCAATTAGCGTCAGTAAGTTCATGTGAAATCTACCTGGCAAGCTTAGACTGGATTCCAAGATTCTTCAAACGGTGACAGACAGTTGATTACGATAAATTAACTTCTTCTACGAACTCTTGGGCAATGGCACATGGCCGGTTTTTCAAAGTACGGTGACTTCATACAAATTTACAGAACTCTCATTCGAACATGCGAATAATCAAAACCTTTTTACTATATATTTCCTCTACATTTTTTATAACATTTACAATATTATTGCCGTTTTTATACTTGTAAAGCATAACGTGTCTAATGTGCTCTTCCGTGACCGCTATTTTCATGAGGGGCTATTAACGCAACAAATTAGCACTTGAGTGCCAGCAAGCCAGAATTTATCTTAAAGGAGCTCAATTTTGTTTTACCACCCGTGAAGTCACTTGTTTAAACGTGTCAGATCATGTTTCAACAAGTCCTGCTGAATAAACGACATCACGTATGGGATGACGATAAGTCCCAATCAGTTTAATTAACTTCGATAGATTAGCTATTATAGGTGCAACAAGTAGTTTAATTAACTGGTTAGATACCTTTAAATGTTACAGCTTTACTTTAAATTCCAAAATTCCAAAATCAGGTCACCCCCAAATTTTATATTTCATGACACACTTTTAATCCCGGTAATCTGAAAACAATAATCTAAATATTATGAAATTTCGAAATTAAAAATGAGGAAAGTATTTTTCCTACATTTTAAGTTATTTTATAATAATATGTAACAGATTTTGGATATAGTGTGAGTTTAAAGAAATTAATTATTTCTCACTGCCATACAGAAAGCAAATCAAGTACATAATTATAACATGTATTTGCAAATTCTTCATAGTATATTTTCTGGGATGCATTTTTTCGAATTCCATTCGCTTATTGAAATATTGGACGCTTTTTATGTACTTTTCACAACCATTGGTTCATTACAGATTCAATTCACAGAATTTTCATTATTAACATATTCTTTTGCTTATAGTTTTATTTGCTTTACTTTTGGAAGAAGTAATATACCGACATAATGCTGAGCACATAATATTTTTTTCTAATTGGCACAGAAAATTAGATTCACAAGAAAAAGAATAATAACAAAAATATGACCATTTAAAATGGAGCCTAAATAAAAGAGAATCTAGTACATACGACTGTAATTTACAATTGTTTATGTTTATAAACACATATAATTACTGTGATAAAACATTTCAAGTAAACCATTTAAACTTTAATTATACTTGAAAGCTTAACGATGTTTTGATAAATTTGAAACAATCATATACTTTTTCCCAAGCGCTTTCAAGATACACGAGCTGAATTACAAGTAAATGTTCCAAAATTCAGCTTAGTGTAAAAGAAATAATTCATAATTGTTTTTCTCCCCTTTGAAAATTCAAGACTATTTTACTGTTATTTGTTGTGAAATATCAACGCATCTTTTTAAAAGATTTTATTTAATTTATAATGCACACAATAAAGATGATCCTGTCTAATGCTACTTGTCTTGTGAGTCAATCCAGTATGAGGTACATCTCATTTGCTTTACGCGGTACCAACTTGTTTCTTGAAATTTAAGCTTCTTTGTAATAACTAAAACCAGGATTTCCAGCATTTCGATGTAAAACGGGTGTGGACTATACTTCATCCTAACTAATCAATACAACTGACATTTTCTATAAATTAAACACATTATTAATAAATAAAAGCACGGCACATTTTTATTTAATTGTCGCTTGTCTAAACAACTTAATGGTTTTCTCTAAAAATCATTACCCGTGGTTTAGAACTGGCCATGATCACAACTATGATGATTCTGTCCACTCGGCCACAGGAATAAATTTGGACAAATTCTATCTAATCCTCTTGATATAACAGGCACTGGTTTCTTGCTATCTGTTTGTTATGCTCACAATCAACACGATCGTATTCATTAGGGTCTTAAGAATCAACTTTGATCAAGTTCCTACGTTATTCAAAAGAATAATGTGGTACTAAATGCTTTTATGCTATTTATGAATGTTAAAAGGCCTATGTATGAATAAAATCACAAGAAATGAAATAATGTCTCACTGCAGTCTGGAAGCAGTTGTTTAACTGAATAAAAATCATTTTCATAATTTTATAATTAATAGATGTTTGCCTGGAGAACTGTGCTTAATATGATTACAAGTGTTGAATAATTGAGCTTTCAAAGTGAAAGGAAAATTAATCAAATTATTTCCGTGAAATTAAATGGATATTTGCACATTCTATACATACAGACTGAAGAATTTTACAGACATTTTTTTTCTACAGCTGAAACGCAGATTACTTATTAAATATATAGTATTATAATAATTTGTAATCTTACTTGACCTCCTTTGATAAAGAAATTGTATTCTTCATTATGAATTTTACCAAGACTTCTCATAATTTTAGTACACATATGAAATGCAAGAAGCAAAGAATGTTTTTCACAAATTGTTCTGCATGCATATCTGTTGGAGAGTATAAAATAATAATAAAGATATTCTAGGATCATTTTCAGTAGAAATGCACACAAAACAAGTTACATATTAAAGTATTATTAATGCTAACTTCAGTGAGTTATAAAATTTTATCGTGATTATTATCAGTTACACATTTAACAATTAAAAGCATTATAATATGTTAATTTGTTACTGAGTTATAAAATTATACAATTTATCTTGTTATTATCTGTTGCAGATAAGACAACTTTTATATTAAAGTGTTCACTGATATATTAATAGTAAAGTATTTAAAACCACAACGCAGTTAATAATGAAGTATTTCAAAGCACAAAGAGCAAATTTTGTAATTAAGAAGATACAGCTATACATTTTAAATATAAAGAATGCTTACATAAATTTAAATCCACCAATATCTATTAAATTCTAATTACTATATTATTATTAATTACTGAGAATACTTTATTATTGATTTATGAAACATAAATATCAGTTTTTGATTAACTGTGCCAACAGTTCTCATCTACATTTAAATATAAATAACTTGCATATTAAGACAGCTTGCTTCCAAATTATTGTTCTACTAAATATCTTTAAATGGTTGGTTGTAGACCCGCATTTTAATTTCAGAAATGAATGAAATGTGATAAGCTTTCAGACTACAACAATTTTGATTACATGGCACATTTTAATAAAAAATATATGAAAATTATATTTTTGTATGTACTCTCCATAAAAGTGTTCTGCTTACTAAGTTTTTATTGTCTTATCACTATTTTTTTAAAGTTTTAAAATGTGTGGTTTTCAATCAAAATTAAACTACTATTAAAATTAAATAATTTAAAACACCGTTGCTTTAAAAAAAAAGATCGAATGTATTAATTTCAGACATTTTTTGATACTGGATACAATATTTCCTAACCTGATTGTGTAGTATTTCCAAAAATTTTTTTTTCTGCTACATTATTTTACTATACAGGCCGTTTATCATCCTCACAATCTAGTAATTTTTGACTTATTTCCAGAATATTGATATTTAATATGACATAAAATTTTTTAGTTAACTTTCAAACAGTAACTGCTTAATAAACTGAACGGTTTAAAAGCAATAAATGCATTTCTTAATAATAACTTGAATCCTTATTTTTTATTTACAATTCTATAAACCATTTGATAGCACTGTATACACATGTTACAATCAATCTAAATACATCATTAGTCTATGAAAAATAAATTTTATTTTATGTATTTTATTTATAATATATAAGTATGAATAATTGCAGCATTACTGTAATTAATTAAAGGTGTTTTAATGCCATACATTATTAAGCATTTTATACATAATAATGCATGGTTTATTTTTAAGAATCATAAGCTTATTTTTTTAATGAAATAAATCTGTAATGGTATTGTAATATAAGTATCTAAATATAAGATAAAATAAACGCACAAATGTAGGATAAGCCATAAATTCTGTTAAAATTGTCATATGAACACTATTTTTTTTAATTTGAAAGTTATCTTCAAGAAACTTCTATTCAAAAACATAGAATCTTAGCCGTTTTCAATATTATTTGCATAGAGCCCCAAAATTTTAATTAGTGGTATCATAGGCAATTTCGAATACGTGAAGATAAAATTTCATTTTGATTGACTTGAACAAAAATTTTTAAAAAAATGTCTTATCAGTATTCCTTTTGCTAATTCTTAAAAAATAAATTTTATATATTTTTACCAAAAACATCAAATATCATATGATTAAAATTATCATTGCCTGAAAAACCTATGATTAATTATTTTATGTTAAAATCATGGATCTATAATGATCCATTCATTAGATAATTAGCCTTGCAAAATTTTTTGAACATTCTGCATGTATGGGGAATATTACAGTAGGGTGGTCATAAAAAAACTTCCCTGACATATGAACTCTTAGCATAAAATCTCCAATCTCGAAACTACCGACGGATCCTTTTGAAAATTTATATGCAGATTAAAGCAAAACTCACCCAGCAATAGACCACTCCAAGCTGAAGACAGCTTAGCCTACTCGGATAAAGACAAAACTCAAGTCTTTGCAGACCACTTGGAAAATCAATTTTCACCTTACACTTTCCCCGGTGACCCCCTTTTCATCGATAAGGTCAACTACAGCGTTGATTCCAGGCTTAACAGCACTTCCACCAATAAATGCATTGCACTGACATCTCTCGGGAAGGTAACAAATATCGTGAAACAACTCACGATCAAAAAAGCCCCCGGTATCGACAGAATAACAAATGCGATGATCAAAAACCTCCCAAGAAACTGCATTTCCAAACTCACCAGTGTTCTCAAAGCCTGTCTGGCACAAGCGTACTTTCCCAACCCATGGAAAACGGCTATGATCAACATGCTGCCAAAAACGAAAAACAATGCTTCCAAACCAGAAGGATATCGCCCCATCAATCTCTTATCTAATCCCAGCAAAATTTACGAAATCATTTTTCACAGACTTCAACCTTTTTTGGAGCTACTCCCAGACGAACAGTTTGGCTTTCGCCTTAACTTGTGCACTACGAAACAAGTGGTCAGGATTTTAGAATTTGCAGGCTCTGCAATTCTTAATACAATATGTCTGGCATTTCTATTACTCGATGTCTCAAAAGCTTTTGAGAGAGTATGGCATTACGTATTAATTTACAAATTAATGCAGCTGAATATTGATAGTGACGTTATTAAGCTCATTTTTCGCTCACTTTCAATATCTTCCGGGAATGGTAAACAGAGCATTTTCATGAAAATTTCATTCTCACTAAAGTCGAAAAATCTGCTTTTTCCACTATCAGATCTGAAATGCACTGTATATAATTGTCCGAGTTCCATGGAGTTGTTTTATTCACTAACTCTATGTTTTGGAAAATGAATGGAATTCTAATTTAGCAGTTGACTTTCTCGTAGGATTAATTTTGTCTCAAAAGCTTTGACAAAGTCAAAGATTATAAATAAGTAGCAGGCGGTATTCAAATCATTGAAATGATTAGTAGTATCGATAGAAATGCTAAATCGTTTAAGCACTTCTCTCCATGGAACGCGTATCTGGATTTCCTTTTAGATTCCATGAATTGTTAAGTTTAAAAATAGATCTAGGGTTTTTAACTTAAAATTATGTTTCTCCATAATGTTGTGATGGGAAAGCAAAAATTGAGACTCTATTTGAGTTGTGCGCGAATGCTTATATCTCTGAAACTACACATGTTACAATCAATCTAAATACATCATTAGTTAGATAAAACAGCACGCTAGCAAAAAAAAAAAAAAAAAAAAAAAAAATAATTGGACAAAGGGTATCCGCATAATAAAGCGTCAAAAATAGCGAATTTTGGTAAAGTTCCGTGTGTATGCGCGACCGCGTGTGAGTGGCAAGGTCGTCTGGTAGATACTCGCACGTAGACAATGTGTTTGGGTGGTGTCTTCGCCGTATTTTTTTATCTTTTCAAGCTAGTGTGGTTGCAATTTATAGAAAATTCACAAGTGTAGCAGATTATGTACCAAGAGTGTTTACTTTTAAGCAGTGTAAGAGACCCAGAAGTAGGCGATATTTGTATGGCTGATGTAATCATTAATGGGAAGTCAAGATTTATTCTAGTATCCATATGTATACATCCAACTAGGAGATTTGGAGATGTTCTTGTTTAGTGCATTGATGAAATGTTCTAAGATTACTTTATTGACCTTTAAAGAGTTTACTGTAGTACAAATGTTCCTATTAATATGATGGGAGATTTCAACGCAAAACGTCAAAGGAAATGAAATGACATTTGATTTTATGAAATATCATTTTAATCTCAGTGTGGCGCTAAGTAACTATACAAGTACACTTAACAATTCATTAATAGATTTAACATTTACTAGAAATATAACTGCAGACATCTTATGTATTCTCATCTTATGATAATTAATTTTTTCATATCAACGACCAGTTTTACATAGGGTCATTTGAATGAATAAATGTAATAAATAAAAAATAAAATATATGTCTGTGTAAAATCTTTTGCTTGTCTTATTTGTTGTACAACTTTCTCACATTTCCTTTAGTAATCTTATGCATTAAACACCAGCAGCTCTCTAAACTAACAGAGAGAGCCTACCGCCAATTTTTTAATCTGTAAGAAAAAGGGTCACTGCAAGTTTAATAGAAGTTTAATAATTACTTTTATTTTGTAATATATAGATATCTGAAAATTTATAAAATTTAAAAATTACTTCTATTATTTTTATTCTATAAGAATATGGATCACTGAAAGTTTAATAATTATTTTAGTGATACCATTGTTATTACTAAAAGACCATTTGACTTATCAGCTTATAATAGTGTTGACATTAAAAATTAAACTTTTTAGATATTTAGACCAACAAATAAATAATAAAATATGGCCTTTTTAATATTTAGTTTATTATAAAAGATTTTTTATAACAGATTTTATTCACAAAAATAAATAAAGTAACAAAAAGTGCTCGTTCTTTTATTTTATCGGCATATTTTAAAAAATTATACACTCTTGAAAAAATTCTCTAAGAAAACATTGGTTCTTACAAAACGCTTTTTATTCTTACTAAACGCTTACAAAACGCTTTTATTCTTACTAAGTGCTTATTCTTACTAAGTGCTTACGCTTTTATTCTTACAAAACGCTTTTATTCTTACTAAGTGGAAATTATGTTTACACGTAAGAGAATAATAATGTTTAGTGCTTTGTTTGTAATTCGAAAGCTTAACATTTCCGCGTTATGATATGTTGGAAAGTTTATCCAAACTAAGGGAAATAAAATAAAATTAAAATGGTCTTAAAGCTTTCAGATTTTATACTACGTCCAAAGAGGAGTTTTTTTATGTTTTTTGCATTAACTTTATTTATTAAATATTATGTTTTTCGTGCTTGAGCCACATAAAATTTAATTCAACAGCAGTATCACGAAATATTTAAAAACAGCATATCTCATAAATAAGCGCATTATGGGTTCACACGAAGAATTAGAAAGAGAAGGGCTAGTTCATAAAGCTTTTCCCCCTGAAACAGGAAGTGGTTTAGGGGAAAGTAATGACGTAGGCATGTTGACAATGGCTGCAAAGACGCAATTCGCAGCAAAGAAATTAATGTTTCAAATTTGAAAAAACAGTCTTAAAAAAACTGTGCGTGAAAATAGAGCTATAATTTAGAAAAGAAGATAATATCACTGCATGCATTTATAACGTTTAAAAAGTTATAATACTTGTTTATTAACTTTAAAATAATAGATAAAATGCGCTACAGTTTCGTTTTCTTAATAATTGCAATATTCTCCCCCTGCGAATTTATTATTAAATCATGAAAAAAAAAACTATGGCATTCATTATCCTTTCTTCACCTGCTTACTAAGTGGGAAAATTCTATTACTATTCCGAAGATAATTATATAAGGAGCTTTTTAAAGCTAAGCAAAAAAAAAAAAAAAAAAAAAAAAAAACATAGTTTGGTAGTTTTGAATATATATATATATACACTCATGTCCATAAATTAAGGATAATGCAAAATCAGGCAAAGGAAGAGTTAGAAGCAAAACAAATTTGACTTATTTGTAAAGTTTATATATTAAACAAAAGGTAAAGAGCAAAAAAAGATGCTATATGTTTCATAATTATTGAAAAAATTAGTGATTTTATCTCCTGGAGCAAATTACAGAAAAAACCTATTTACAAAAAAACCAATATTACATGGTTGGTATGATTGTTAATACATTGTATGTCTCCCAGACGATGCAATACAGTCCGTACAACGCCTAGGCATGCTGAGTATCAAATTATCGATCTGATCTTGGGGGATATTACACCACTCAAAAAGCAATGCTCTCCGAAGTTCCGGTAGACATGTAGGAGGAGGTTGACGGGCTGCAACTCGTCGGCCAAGCATGTTCCACACGTGCTCTACTGGATCAAGTCCGGTGAGAATGCTGGCCAGTCCATACGGGTGATATCCTCCGATTGAAGGCATTCGCTTACGATGTTTGCACGGTGAGGACGGGCGTTGTCATCCATAAACACAAATTGTGCGCCCATGGCGCCCTGAAACAAACGTACATGTTGTTATAGAATGACGTCCCGATAGATTTGGCTTGTCATGGTTCCAATTTGAACATGCAGGTCAGTTCTGGAACCCAGAATAATTCCACCCCAACGAGCACTCCTGCACCACCGTAACGGTGTCGTTCAATGATGTTTTCTTGGTGGTAACGGGTACCTGGAGCTCTCCATATGAAAGTCCGGCGAGAATCAGACTGCAAGCTAAACCTGGACTCGTCGGAAAACATCACACAAGCCCACTGTTGCGGTGTCCACAATGCATGCTCTCTACTCCAGGCTAACCGCAGGCGACAGTGAGTTGCAGTAAGTGGAACGCATCTGACAGGTCTACGAGCATATAGACCAATCTGCCCTAAGCGTCTGTACACGGTCTGCCTTGAAATTGTCGTACCAGTGGCTGAAGAGAGCTGACGAGACAGGTCTGAGGCTGTGCTCCGCCTGTTTCTTTTGGCAGTAACTGCCAAATACCGGTCCTCATTCGGCGTTGTAACTCTGGGGCGACCTGTGCTGTAACGTCTACTCACATTACCATCATCTTGGAATCGTTGCCAAAGCCTGGAGATGACACTCTGGGCAATTCCAAGTTCGTCTGATACTTCCAGTTGTATACGCCCACATTCCAGACGGCCGATAATTCTACCACGTAAAAAATCATCCAAATGCGTCCTTTGTGTCATCACTATTCGGTTATTTCACTGAAATGCTTATAAAGCGCCTGCGAACAATTTTACCCTTTGCCTGTATTCCTTATATATCACTCTCTTACACTCTCGTCATTGTGACGTACCATCGGTGTCATCTGATTACTTCCTGAAATTTGCATATGATTCTTGAAGATGTGTGTAGTGATTTTACAGGTGATATATTTATTTTAGAGTTCGATTTCCGCGTGACTCCGAATTATCCTTCATTTATGGACATGAGTGTATATACATATATCAGTTTTATTTTCTGCGGTTTAAGAACAGGAACTTATGTTTGTCTACCTTTGAAATCGATAGATTTATTCAAAATTTAATCTAACCTAAGATTACTTTTTTGACCTAATTATTTACATTGACGTGTTTCTAATCCGATATGATATAATAACAGATATTTTTAAAATAATTGTCTAACTTATACTCTTATCTATACACATACACTGTATTTAAATAAATACAAGATCGTTGCCTTAAGTTTGACAAAATAACTCTGCTCATAGTTTCTAAAGAGAATTACTTAATCTTTCAAAAATGGGGCAAAGGAGGAAGGCCTCTTTTATTCAAAATTCCTTTGACGTTTTATACTGTTATAAATTATCTAAAATGCTGAACTAGCTTTGTTTTTTATAAATTATCAGTTCATTTTTGTTTATTATTGCAATTAAGGCATTCAGAAATATCTGCATCGCCATTTGTGAGTTCTGTTTTAAAATCATTCTTATTCTATTTCCTATGACCGTTTTCGTAATCGGCCACAAAATGAATTTTCTTCAGCCTTAATTCGTGTAGTCTTTCAAAAGACCTATGCATTATTTTTCTTTTCTTGGCACAGTATTGGATTTTAACAGTTTCTTTTGCGGCAATTCAAGCAAACAAGCGATTTTTCATGTCATCTTCACAGTTACTGCACAGAAAATGTTCGCTGCAAATTCTCGTATTCTTCACATTAAAAGAATACTGTCTTCGATACATGTATCTATTTTTTTTCGCCAAAAAATCTGACAAATTAAAAAAAATATGAAATACAATATCCTTTATCTTCCTTATTTGCATGAATTTTATGGCACTTTGCTACAGTGCAAGAAAACGTATTACATTAACAATATTTTACAACAGTGGTCTCAAATTTAAATTGAAAACGTACCAATGCACAATTTGAAAGTAAATTGAGCAACTGATGAGAGCAACTACAAAAAATTTTGGGATTCGTTTTTTTTTCGGAGGGGGAGCGTTTAACACAACAAAAATTTGTCAATTAAATTTAAAAGTTTTACTAGATATTTGTCAAAACATAGGAACAAAACTAACGCAACGAAAAATATCAAATTTATGCGTATGTTTTTCCTGAAATCTAAAATTTGGTATCTGTAAGAAATTTCTGCTGGTCACAATTTAGAATTCAGACAGATAAATATTAAAATTTGATAGCTAAATATTAACATTTTCAGATTGGCATTAATTCAACTATTTGTAATATATTGAACTACTAAATAACTTACTTCTAATTTAAATTAAAAAGAAATATACGAAAGATTTCCAAGAGGGACAAAACTTGAGAATAAATAATAACATATCCTATTCGCTTTCTTCTATTTATCAGATTTTTCTATGACGAAAAAACAGGAAAAATAGTATTTGTATGCAAATTATTGTAAACATCTTCGCTTTTTGCTACACCTTTCAGTTACAACACTTCATGACGTTTCGATTTTCATGAAGTTTGTAATCTTGTAGTCTGTAAATTACTAAAAAGTATCATCACAATTTGTAGATACTCATCGGCAGTCTGGTTCTTTTCGAAGACTTAATAATTTTTAACTACGGGAAAAAAAAAAAAAAAAATTCTCATGTATATATACTCAAAAATAAAGTTTTCTTATTGCAAAAATTCATAGCTTAAGATATTTATCTTTTGACAAGTACTAATAAAAGTTAATTCAATTTGTATCATAAAATTTCTGAATAAGATTTATATCGCAGTGTAAATTACTTAGCCGTCTGTTTCTAGATTTTCCGAAAAGTTACGTTCGTTTTTGGTAATGAAAATAACGTAAAACTGGACTCCAAACCATTAAAATCTTAAACTTTTTCTTGAAATTCTTGTCATAATAATGCTAATTAATTACGGGAAATGTATTCGCGGGCAGTATCATATTACTGCAAGGGCAGCATGCGTTCTGTTGGCCTCCAGTTTGACTTTGACATGGCTTTACTAGAAAACAATATATGTGATTAAAATTAATTTGGGAAGTCCATATTGCTAAAATATCGATTCATAGTAGAATGGAGCTACAGTTTTAAACAGGTAAAATCAGAGCAGATGCAACATAATGACGTCAGACTACTTCCCGTTAACTTCTCGTACGAGGGTTGCGTAAGGCCGTGACCTTCGTGAATTTGTTCTTCCAGTTGGCCGCGTAAGGTCTAGAGGAGCCTTAAGCTTCGCTCTGACTAGTCGACGCTTATCCCAAACTCGGCGTAAAGTTGAAAACTTGGAACCTTGTGCCACGAGCCTTAAACCGAATTATATGACGTAGCACAGACTGGTTGCCTTGGCAACGCAGCTCGGCTTTAACCACTTATGCCCTTTATGCTCCCGTCTGAACACAGCCTTATAGGGTTGCGTCGACGATGGGTCACTCAAAGTAATGACCCAGCCCTTCTCTTTAACCGTGGCTTCACACGCTCCCAATGGAGGAGACAGATTTCTTCGCATTTCTCATGGTGACGTCACGAGAGAGCTGGCAGGGCTTATTTTTCGAAAGCCATTGCAAGATGCATATCAAGGTATGAAAAAGACGTCTCTCTATGGGGAACTTTAAAAAAGTAAAGTATTTGAGACAGTTGCATTAACAGTTTAGTTTTTAACTTGATAAGCATTATTTCTGTAATTTAAAAATTTAGATACAATTTCCATTTTATGTCATAAATACATCTTACCTATATACTGCACGTTGATGAAAGGCATTCAGATTTGAGATTCTGCGAGGTATATTTGGATCCCTTGGTGACTTACTTATGGAAGATAAAAATAAAGTAATATACGAATCCAGAGTAAATACATACATAGAATCCACAAATGTCATATCTGTTAGCACAAAATATAATATAGATGCCATTTTAGCACAAGGTCTATAGTTCTGAAATAAAAAACACATTTCCTTCATTAATCTCATATTCATAAATGACAAGAGTAGTAGTATAAGAATTAGATTTTTCATTACAAACACTTGCAGTCACACATAAAGGGAAATCTTTCAAATCATAAATTATATAATAGAGTAGAATTACAATTGTTTAAACATACTTATGACTGACATAAGTAAAAAGATGTTGGTCATCAAAGAAAGGGAATTATGCCAGTTATCAAAATTAAGTTAATTATTCAAATATATATACAGAACAGTTGTAAAATGCGTAAATTGTACAAATAGGATATTAATGAATAATAGAACACAAAGTTATTTATTTACTTACATCTCTTAAAGCATCAATAACAAGTTCAGTTTCCTGGTCTTTTTTCAGCTTTTCTTCAATATCAAGGGAAGCTAATTTAGACTTTTTAAGAGCTTGCACTAACACTTCATCATCCAGTAAAGAACCTTTAGCTTCATTCAATAATCTGTAGAAAAGATACTTTTTTTTTTTTTTTTATTTGAGTTTGCATATTTTCAAGGTATATAAAATGTAATACGAGACACTTAATATTACGTGTAAAAATCTGAAAGCTGAAATCATTGAGCCATTCAGAACTTAATGGTAGGATAAGTAAGCTCATAAACCGCAATTAAATTACTTCAAAATAAATTTTAAATCCTGGCATGTTTATATATAATGAATAAATATCTTTGTAAAATATAGAAAAAACCAATAATTTCATAATGATTATAGAATATTTTATAAAATGACTGAAAAATGAAGTCTCAGGAAGATATGAAATTAAAGCATTATAAAAAACATAACAAATTTAAATTTACTAAGCATAATAAAAGTAACAACTTCATAAAAATATATAAATTTATTAGTCTTCTGATTCTGAGCAATAATTTATTTATTTCTATGACTGAGTGAAATGATGTTTGAATAATTTGTTTCTACAAATTCTTATCGTAAATAAAGATTTCAGATTAAATATAAGAAGCTGTGATTTCACTACCACATGGAAAGCAAGTAAAAACTTTTATTTGGCAATAAAAAATTCTTTCGTTTCCTTTAAATAAAGCAGTGATGCAACTAGAAGCAAAAAAAAAAAAAAAAAAAAAAAAAATTGAAACTTCGGGTCCTAGAACTTGTGACTTAGGACAGAACTTACTTCATATGAAGTACCATGTAATTTTTCAACTGGCATTAACACACTTTCTGAAGATGAGTGATTTTTCACACCTTCCAACGTTATATTGTGCTGAGCAGTCCATTTCGAGGGGCATTTTCCTTCGGCAAGTTATGTAAAAGTTCTGCAACAGTTGCTTTGTTAGGTAAGAAGGGAGGGAGCAATTTGAAGATCTCACAATAAATCGTTTGATAAAAAGATGATGAATCAACTTCGATAACACGCTTTTTTGATTCAATAAAAATCGTTGCATTCTCATTAAAAGGTACAATATTTTGCTTACCAATACAATATACAGAATATACCCTTAGCAATTTATAAAATATCCAGTTATTTTATAGACCTTTTCCCGCTTTGAATTATAACGAATCGATTTTTTATCAGCATTTTTCTTAAAATGACAGACCTTTATAATGTGTACTCAGGGCCGGCACCAGAGACGGTGCAGTCGCACCGGAAGGTATAATTTGCGAGCAGCAAAACTTCCGAACGGCAGAATTTAGAACTCCGGGCGATATAAAACCCAGCACCGGCCCTGTTTAACCTTTCCGCTTATACTAATGCGGGTCTGGCGCTACGCTTTTTCAGTACGGTGCAATCTCCATGGCTTCTAAATTCTGATCGTCTGGTACTTCTTTGAAATCCTGAATCTTAAAAGCTTTGCTACCTCTCTAAATTCTGCCGCTAGGTGCAAGTGCACCAGTTGTGGCACTGGAATTGCATTTATGACATACAGCATTATGAAATTCACACTCCTTACGATCCGGCTGCACATTCTTGTTATTTTTTATTTTTATAAATCCTTATTGTTTCAGTCTTAAACCTTTATGATTTGATATAATTTTATAGGCAGCGTTGAATGCAATTCTAATTTCATTGAGTGCTTAATTACAGGCACCGTACCTGTCATACATGCGCGATTTTGTTCGCAATATTATTTTTTTTTCCTATTCATTATTTTTTAATATTTTTTTTAGTTCTTGCAGACAGAAAAACGGTAAAATTATCCTAATGACCTTGAAGCCATAAGAAATTGACTTTTATACTATGACAGCGATAAAGATGAGGACCTTGGTTTAAATAAAAGCAGTATAGATGAAGAGGAGCACTTTTCCCTCAGAAAGGCGATAACATAAAGCGATGTAGACGATGAAGATAATGATAACAGATATAACGACACCTACATAGTCTACACACAGGAAAGGAAAAAAAAGAAAATATTTGTTCAAGAACACTAAACGAGCGCCTTGCAATATTTGCATTCAATTTCTTACAATCATTAGGCCTGCATAAAATTCTTATGGTTCTTTTGAATATATGTAAATATCTCACTAAGGATACCATAACTGAAAGTTGAAGAAACCAATAACCTGTTCTGTGATGCCTTGTTTCTCTTGTTCGAGAGACATTCAGACTGCATTGCTGCGATTCAGTGACTATGCTATGTACAATAATGAAGAAACCAAGTCAGTAACATTCCATGATAATGCGCTGAGTACTTTAAATCCTTAAAAAAATACTATGCTGATTCTGAGTTTATAAAAGCTAGTTTTTCTTTGCTATTTCTGCCTACAATACCAGTATTTTAACTTTTAGTTATTCTAATATAATTGGTTTAGAGAGAAAAATTACTTTGGTATGAAATCAGTGAAATATGTATTTATAGGCAAAGTACAGCTTTTATCATTTCAGCTGAATACCATTCTATTCGCATTTACTAAAACGTACTGACATTTGAAAGAAAATCAAATATACACAGAAATATTCATTGGTTGCTTAAGAAGTTACCCTCTACTAGAGCATGAGTGACTGAAATTTGACCAATGAAGTTGATTGTTATAATATTTATAACTTCTTATGTCTATAATCAGACTATAATAATTTAGGAAAGAATATCAAAGTATTAAATACCCCTTTCAATTTTTTTTACACCGATGGCTTGAGTTTGCATCTGTAACATGTTATTTGGGGTTTGGAGAGGTCGTCTACTATAGATGTCTTCATTAATACATTTGATATTCTGGATGCTATACTATAATCGATGCCTTCGTTTCGCATTTCCAAACATGGTAACGCAAGTAGAATACACTTACTTTCAAAATTCAGAAGTACATTTGAACTGATTCTGCAGTAAATAAATGCTCTCAGCACAGCATTTTTAGCTTTAGGTATTTTACGCATATTAAAGATACGTAATTTCATTTATAGAACTTATTAAAAAATATATTTCCTATTAAAATAAAATATGAATTCAAAAACCTTAATATGGTATCTTCTATATCGGCAAGCTGCCTTTTGTTATCACTTATACTCTTCACCAGTTTTTCTTTAGTAGTTTCTAATTCTGCTCTCTCATTCTGAATTACCAAAGGTAATAACTGATCTTCAAGGCCTGAAAAAATTATTTTAAGAAGTATTTTTAAAAATCCACATGCATATAAAAACTGCAACATAAGTGTAAGCATTCATGCTGGACCCCTCTAGTTTCAAAGATCAGAAAAGAATTAAATTTAGGCATACCTAAAGCTTTTCAAACATTTAGGACACTGAAATTTTTACCTAAAATTTATTTCCAGAGTAGGTGGTATATATCAAACTCACTTATTGGATTGGACATGAAGAAATATTTCTTGTTAAGGCTGAAGTGATCTGGCAACCACGATGAGAGAAAACAACAACGTGGTTAGCTAGCGGCCATTATTGGATTGATTGCGTGTTGGGTGGTGCACGTATGCGATGGCAAGAGTGTCCATCCAAACAGAAGTAAAAGAAAATAAAGCCACAGTCCATTAATTCCTAGTGTTTGTATTTCAAAAATATTTTTATTCTCGAATATTGTGGTCTGTCGAGCCGGAGGAAGATTAGTGCCTGTGGACAAAGTGCTGGTTAAAAAGCTTAAAGGTGAAGTCTTAAATTGATAAAAAAGTGTGATATATTACTTCGCATTCGACAAGTTAATTATTTCGGTTTCATTTGGATTACCTCAAACGGAGGTAAGTGAATTTGCTCATATATGTTCGGTATTATTAATTAACGTTAATTATGGAAGCATTTTTAATTAAGAAAAGAATTTTAAAGTATAACGAAAGCAACTTAAGATTTCGAAAAATATGCTTGTGATGAATTTCAGTTACAACCTTTTGAAAATAAATGTGCAAAATTTAATACTGAGTGTTCAGAGATTTTTGATAAATTATTTGAAGTAGTTGATGAAAAAGAGTTTGACAAATATGTAACTGAACAGCAAACTGTTCAAGACAGCATTTTACTTTGTGGGTTAAGGTTAAACAGCAAATGTCAAAATTTAGTGCTAAAGATGCAAGTAATGTAAAGATTGAAAATACCAGTGCACAAGGTATGCAATTATCTAAATTAAACTTGACATCTTTTAGTGGAAATATTCAAGATTGGTTAAGCTTTCGGGATCTTTTCATTTAAAGTATTCATAATAATGATGGCCCACCAGCGGCCAAGCGGTAAAGTCGCTGAACACTGGTAGTTCGGTCCGAGGTTCGAATCCCGAGAACGGGCTGGCTGCATGGGTGTTTTCGTGGTTTTCCCCATGTGTAACGTGTATACGAGCCAGTTTCCCTTAGAAAGTCCTCCACGAAAGGCATCCCTCCCCTTTGGCAGATAGCCCTAGTGTGCTTTGCCGTAATTAAATACACCATAATAATGATGTATTATCGGATTTCCAAAAGCTCTCGTATTTGAAGTTATCGCTTAATGGCGAAGCAGTTAGGATTATTCAATCAGCCACAATTTGTGACAGTAACTATAAAATTGCTTAGGATTTTTTAGAAGAAAGATACTCCAATAAACGTGATCAGGTTTTCGCCCACATAAAGCGTTTCATGTCATTTTCTCCTATACAAAATGAAAGCCCGTCTTCTATTTTAAAATTAGTAGACACAGTGAATGAAAGTGTAAGGTCTCTGGAAATATTAGACCAAAAAATAGAGGAAGTCGCAGAAACATTTCTTGCATATATTTTGCTGCAAAAATTGGATGTTTCCACTCGTTTTTGGTGGGTCTAATAATTTTGTGCATCATCTAATCAGATGATGGTGGTTCAGTGGGTTTACTAATTTTAACACTTTTACATTTTAAACAATATTTTAATTACTATATACAGAGCGTATTCTTAGGCCGCCGCCTTCAACATGAACAAACTTTATTCTCATACAACTAAGCGAGCAACAGCGCCCTCTAGCCTTTTCTTCAAATTACACAACACTCCCCACCTGAACTCGGTGGAGAGTTCATCTTTCAATAATATATTCTAGAATATTCAATTAATATTTCGACAATAAATCCTGGAGAAATGGTTTAAATATAACACATGCATACATAATTATAAGCACATAAAATTTTACAAAACATTAAATGATACCTATCAGCAAGGTCAGGAGAATCAAACCTAAAAATACAAAATACAAAACATTAGTTAAGTTCCATATTATATAACACATTGTATAGGCCTTTTTTAAGGTACCAGTAGATGTTTTAATTATGCAAGATCTTATTTTACCATCTATGCCTGGCATTAATTCCAAAATTTGCCCTATTGTCCAGAGATTTCTGGGATGTTAATTGATTAGCAGGGCAGAGATAGTAATCGTCTACCAACCAGAAATTGAGAGGGCGTTAGTGGAGAAGGTTCATTGGGATCGGTAAACACGTAGGTAATTGGTCTACAATTAATCATTGCCTGGATTTCAAGCTCTTTCACAGTAAGGGATGCTCGACCAATAATTTTGCATAAGCTGGATTTTATGGTTCGTACCATACGCTCCCAAAACCCTCCCCACCATGGACCCCTCTCAGTAATAAATTTCCAATTTATGCCTGTAGCAGAAAATAATTCTTTCACAGATGAGTCACTCAAAGTTTTAAAAATATGTTTTAGTTCTTTATCAGCTCTTTTAAAAGTCTTGGCATTATCGGAGTACACGGTGGTACACAGTCCTCGGCGAGCTAAAAATCTTCGGAAAGCTAGCAAAAAACTTTCAGTGCTGAGATCAGTTACTATCTCTATATGTAAGGCACGAGTGACCGCACACGTTAACAACAGCATGTAAACTTTACCTTGCCTGTCTTTCGTAAAAAATGGACCGGCGAAGTCCAACCCGGTCACAGCAAATGGAGGCGACTCTTGGATTCTGTCTGGAGGAAGTGGAAGCGATATCCTGTACCCCAGGACGAGCACTATATCGTTTGCATATCACACATTTGCTGATGATAGTCTTAACACGCTGTCTTCCCTTAATGATCCAATATTTGTCTCTGATCTGAGTTAGTGTCGAATTAACTCCAGCATGGGAATACCCTTTCATGCGAGTCCATGATGATCAATTCGGTAAACTTGCATTTGAGGGTAATAGAATAGGATGTTTTAAATTCTCGTGACAGTCTGCAAATTGAATGCGACCTTTCAACCGAAGAATTCCCTCCTCATCAAGCCTTGGATTAAGGGAGTAGATGGAAGAATCGAGAATTGATTTTTTATTTGATAACTTAATTATTTCCGCTTGATACGATTCTCGTTGCGTAATTTTACCCAATAATGTTCAGCTGCTTTAATCTCAAAAGCACTTAAAGGTCCATTCCCTGTAGACCTTTTCCGAAGCCTCCCAATAAATCTAAATACATAGGCAGTAATTCGAAGTAATTTTCCTAAAGAACTGAATTTTTCTATATGCAAAATTGGGGATTCATTGTTAATTACAGGTGCAGTCAAAATAATACTTTTTCTTAACTCCAACGATTCTGTTTTAATTTTTTGTTTGGAAAGTTTTCAATAGGAAAACGTAACCAGTGTGGCCCATGCCACCACAAATCATTCTTAATTAGTGACTGAGCACTAATTCCTCGAGTTCAGTAAATCGGAAGGATTTTGTTTTCCCTTCGCAAGTGGTTCCACAATTTTTTGTTGCATATACTCTGTATTTCTGTAACACGATTGGCGATAAATGGTTTCCAATTATTTGGCGAACCTTTAATCCAAGTAATGGCGATTTCGGAATCACTCCAAAAAAAAAACATCCTCAATTAAATCACCAAACAATTTTTTTTCAAATATTTATACATTCGAGCAGCCACGAGTGCTCCCATTAACTCTAAACGAGGAAGCGTGATTGCTCTTAAAGGTGCAAGTGCAACTCTGCATTTCGACATGATAAAGGAAGTTTTAATTTTAGAATCACTCGTACAATATCTGAAATATGAGATGGCCCCATATGCTTTAGGACTAGCGTCCGAAAATAGGTGAAGGCTTATATTCATTGGATCGTCATCAAAGAAATTTCTCTGTATCGATATTTCAGTTAAATCATTAAGTTCCTCCCGCCAAATGTTGAATTTGTCCTTAATCTCTGCAGGAAGGACCCTCATCCCAGTCAGAACCGGAACACCAGATTTCTTGCATAATAATTTTTGCCCGAATAACAAAGGGTGCAATAAATCCAAATGGATCGTATATTTGGGCGATGCTTTGCAAAAGTTTCCTTTTTGTAGCAAAATCGTTTCCAGTAGAAAAGTCAATTAAATTTTTTAAATTTAACTTTATATCGTCTTCAATGGAATTCCAAATCATGCCTAAGAAATTCGATTCACTAGTTAATTTGTTGTCTGATTCCTTAATCCCATCTGAGACCCATAAATCGTTTAATGCTTTAGAATTAGTTCTTAATTTTCTGAAATTCATCCCAGCATCCTTAAATATATTAACCGCATCTACAGATAACCGATATGCATCTTCAACCGTTCCTGCTCCAAAATATAGGTCATCGACATAGACAGAAGAATTTAACATTTGGAAACTGTCCGGCATTTTATCTTTATATTTTCGAATGTGATATTTTATAGTGGCGGCCAAAATGAAAGGAGATATAGTCAAACCGAAAGCTACGCGACACATTTGCATAATCTTAAAGGAGTCATTATTTTCATTAAACCAAAGAAATTTTAGAAATTTTCTATCACCTTCAGCAATTCCTATCATCAAAAAGGCTTTTTCAACGTCTCCACAAAACGCTATCTTAAACTTACGAAAATTTAACATAATGTCTAGTATATTTGGATTTAGATTAGGTCCCGATTCAAGGCAGTCATTTAACGAATTCGTGTCCTCTGTCCTTGAGCTAGCATCGTACACAATTCTTACCTTAGTAGTTTCACTAGGTCGTATCACTGCTCGGTGTGAGGCATAAAATATCCCAAATTTGTATCATTATTCGGACATTCCTCCACAATTCCTTCTAATATCTGGTTCTCAATTATATTTTTATATTCCTGAAAAATCTCCGGAGTTTTACTTAGTTTATTGTGAAGGTTTGCGAATCGTTTCTTAGCTACCTCAAAATTATTTCCTAGATTATTCGGACTGTATTTCCAGATTAAATTTGCCTCATATCTTCCGTTTTTTAAACTGCAAATTTCTTTCAAACTGGTCTACTATTTCGCAGTCAATATCGGAATAATCATCAGAATCATTAATTCCCATATGTTCTAATTCCCAAAAACCTCTTAAATCTTTTCAACACAACAGTGTTTGTCATTACCGCTAAATTTTCAGAACAATTTTTTGTTTGTTTTATTTTCTCGATTCCTGCGGCAACCCAACCAAACACAGAACTGACTGCGTACAACCCTTCAGATATTTTAATTCTTTCAGAATAAACTACATTCCAGAATTCATCCCCTCCAATTAATATCTCAACATCTATGTTATTTTTTCTTGCGCAATCGGCGATCTGCAACCCCATATGCTCCATGAAGTCTGCAATTTGTTTACTAGGCACACTGATGGACGCCGAGGAAATAACATCCGAGATCAAACATTCAATTTTTATTTTATTATTTTGTTTCCAATTCTGAATTTCGATTTCAACGACCGGATAGGAATGATTCATTGCCTTCGTCGCACCAAATGAATAAACAGAAAGTCTTTCATAACGGATTGGAGTAAGTTTTAAATGGTCGGCCAATTTTTTCGTTATAAAGGATCTGTGACTGCCTTGATCAAGAATTAATCTAGTTAATTTTGATTTATACTTAGAACAAGCATAAACTGTACAAGTTTGTAATAATATTTCCCTGGCATTACAGTCATTATTATTATCACCTTGAGGAACAGAAGCAATCAATTTTAAGTTTTGAACTTTATTTCTTTCCTCAGAATTCAAAGTCAGAGATTCAGTTTCATTTTTGGAATAACCTTGTTCCAGACTTTTTGTTTACAAGGGATTTATTAGTACAAATCGATTCATTGTGATACATACACCGCCACATTTATTACATTTAGTTTTATTTCTGCACCTTTTTTGATGTATGGAATTTTTTAAAACAAGAAAGCAGCGGTTTTCGGATCTTAGTTTCTTTAATTTATCAGAAACATTCACTTCGCATTTAAATGACTCGTGCAAATTATCACAAAAGATGCATTTTCGGTTAACTGCAGTATGAAA